AAAAAAAAGTAGCCGATTCAATTAGCAACTAACCACTCAAGTAACAACGTTGAACAGACATCAATCAAAACTAATCAGGCTAGGCAAGAATTAATTGGCAATACCAAATTAATCATGTTAACATGTTAAGCAGCCTGGTGATTGTTGGTCCAAAGAAAAAAATCGTGACTCAGAAACAAGGTTTTAAAAGGCAGACCTAGGTCTCGAGGCGGTTTCCCTCAACGAGGTGAGGCTTCCAAGGCGTAAGACCCAAGGCGGAAATCTATATACACCAAAATATGTATATATATATATATATATATATCTTACACAAACATATACACATTTATATACAATATCTATTTACATATATATATATATAATACTATATTACTAAGAGGAGTTGGTTTGGTGGTTCTTGAAAGAGGAAAGAGTGAAACTGTGTGATAGGCTGAGAGGATGCAGAAAAATTGGTTGCATGGAGGAAGAGATTGAGTCAAACCACACTTTTTGATTGAGAGGAGAAAGTACTAGCTTTTTGGGTTCTAAAATACTAAAAGTACACATTGGAGCCATTGGCCTTTGACTTTTAGTTCTTTGAAATTAAAAAAAAGACACACTAGAAAGAGATGTACTACTATTGCCATAAAGCTTATAAGAAAGCCAAAAAACCATTACCAAAGCAGACATCTGAGGCGTGCACCTCGACACTGCCTCACGCCTCATTGAACCAACGTAAGCCTCATTCAAGGTCCTAGAGGCGCCGCCTCAGGTGCGGTTCTAGGCCGTCTCTCCTAAAGGCATAAGCCTCAAACTATTTTTAAAAGCATGCTTAGAAATACACTCCGAATTAAAATCAGACTTCTATTTTTTGTGGTCAAATTACTTCCAACCCTATTCAAAACAAAAACAGTACAGAAGCAAAAAATTTAGCTCTCATGCTTTCATTACCTAAATATAAATATGTTTTGAGTGAACTACAAAAACCATCCTTGTACTTATGCTTGACAGTCACTTTAGATTCGTAAGACTTGGTTGCTTTATCCATCCCAAGTTACAAAACCAGTACAAAACAGACCAACTGCTGGAATTTATTAGCCTTGGTCCATTAAGTACCCATGTGTGACTCATATGGCCCTTCTTGAAGAGCACTTTAGGCCTTTCTACCGACCTACAAAACTGGTCCCTCAAATGAAGATACTTGCACTCTGTAATATGCTGACTCTTCTCTCTCTCTCTCTCTCTCTCTCTCTAAAATCAGGCATCTGTTTACCTTCAGAAACATGCCAGTGCCGGCCAGTAAAAGTTGCAGCTTACTGACTTTTGCATGATCTCAAAGCTAAGGCAATGAAGACTAGGTCAGGTGATGCAAAGATCAATGCCTCGTGAAAATTCATTCACACTCACCACCACCTTGCTGTTGCCCGCTCCAGCCACTATTGTTCCGTAAGAATCAATGGATCTACACTACCTTGCGCTGCTCAAGAACCCATCTCCATTGCTGACCACATCCTTGTCATTCTCCTCCACACTACTTCCTCCGCCATCACAACCATCTCAGCCAACCCCCCACCTTCATTTCATTCAATACACCACAGGTTTCTCAATGTTCCACTGACAATCTAATTTCCTCAGCCTCCTTCAGAAGACAACAGTTGCCTAATGATTCATAGTTACTGGCTAGGCAATAATTGATCAGGTCGGGCCTCTTAATAGCATTGATGGATAAAGTGGGTAGTTGTTAGTCCAACAAAAAAATCAATTCAAGCTAATTCAAACCAATTTTTTTGCCAATTTAAAATTAGCTTTCATCTGATAATATTGTGCCAAAGCTTCGAACTTTTTAGTGTCAGAATAATATACAATAATTATATTTTATAAATCAAAATGAGCCAATTATTAGTTGGTTTAAGCATCCTCTTGAACAAGGCGTTTAGTATCAGGTCACCAGACTCTCTAGCTCGGCACAATGCATTTAGAAAGCAGGGCTTAATTCGTGAATAGTCAAGCTTGATACACTAAAGATCTAGCGTCAACAATTAGCACATTAGTCATTTGTGAAGAACAATTGAAAGTCAAAACAAAATGATAAGAGTAGTCACCGCTGACCTTCTTTATCCCATATCTGCAAAGGCTTGCTCCTATAGAACACATCCAATTAAATAAATTAATAACAGAGAAGCTTCCATCAATTCAAAATCATACAGTCCAACAATAGCACAAGCAAAACTGTTGAGGACCAAAAAAATGGCATACCCAAGGCTGTATAAAATAGATAAAAAACCAGACTGGAAGGTGTTCTTGAACATTTGTAGTTGCGAATAGATTATCCTTTCCTCAGAAGAAACTGCAACAAGATCCAAAACGCTTAACACACATACTACTAAAAGGAGAAACAAGGGTGATAAAACTAAATCCGACATTAATTCGTATACAAGATGATAAAAGCAAACAAACACCAAAAACCACCCGATACCGGAGAAAGGCAGATAACTTGAGATTTGAGAAACAAAGTACCGGGAGGTAGATATACAGCAACACCGTTTACGATACAGTAGAAGAAAAATTGCCACCGCCGTCGGTAGCCGGGAAGTGAGAGAGAAAATCGTGAGATCAGAAGCTCGAATAATAAATTAGGGCTCCATGCTTCAAAAGAAACTATTTGGGTTGAGACCGGTGTGTAAAACCAAATGGTTTGAAAACAAAAATATTGTTTGCAGGAATGAAGTTGATCCGAGGATTTGGATTTCAAATATATCTCAACCAGTGTTCCGCACCGTGTTGGTTAAGGGTGTGTTTGATACTTAGACCGTACAGAACAGGATAGTATTGCGCAGAATAAGACAGTTGTTAAGTATTTGGTAACACATAAATCATAATATGATTGGACAGAACCGGTTAAAATGATTAATTTACCCCTTATAAGTTGTTTAGTGTTTTTTCACTAAATAATCAATATAAATGTTAACGAATACGATGTGTAAAGTATAACTTACATCAAACCACCACTACTTGCAAAAATACATTTGCAAAAATACATGATTTCATAATCAACTAATGATATATGAAAAAGGTAAATATAATATAAGCATCAAGAATCCATTATCGAAGCAAATCTATATGCATTCCATACTAAGAAAAAAAACTACTACCAACAAGCGCACAATCAATTAAAATGAATTAAATATCAACTAGTAAATAAAATATAAGCATCAAGAAAAACAATTTGGCTAGTGATCCCATATAGTATCATCATATTCACAAAACTTGGATTCCAGAAAACAAATTAATTCATCTATCATCTGTACAATCACTCCTGTAAGATCAAAATTGAATATTTACTACTCTGATCAAAAGAAAACATACAAAACTCACCGAAAACAATAAATTGCATGCGTGAACCTTACGCAATACGTTTGACGGTGATAAAATCAAGAAAACAATTTATATAATTTATTAAAGTATAATATAATAATTATTTTTTATAACAAAATATATCATTTGAAGTTTTCGTCAAAACAATTAAAATGACACCAAATAAAAAGTTTATGTAGTTTTCTATTTTTATTTTTATCTATTTTTTACATTATTTTTTATTATTAATATATAATAAATTACATAAATTAATAAAAATATAAAAACCATATAAAGATAATATTTTGAGGACAGTAAAATGAAATTTAAGAAACATAAAATATAATAAATAAAATTTAAAGAATGAAAAAAAATGTAAAAGAGAGACATATTTGATGTTTTAAAAGAGAATTAAGTTTTATTTTGAGGTTATATCGGTAAAATATAAGTCTGTTCCACCTTGTTCCATCATGTTCCATGGGGTAGGGGTGGAACAGGCCTGTTCCACTTTGTTCTTGTCTGTTCCACATAAAATTCATGTCAAACATGTCTCTGTCCTATTCTGTTATGTCTCTGTCTAGTGTACCAAACGCACCGTAGCACATGTCTAAGTAATGTACAAAAATTTGTGAAATACATCCATATTTTTATATTTCAAAATTGAAAATACAAAATTTTCATAGTGCATTTGTAATCCTTCCAATATTTCAAGGCATCATTTCTCGTTTCATATATTTAACTGTTTTTCAATAATTTCTTTTCGCATTAATATGGATTAAGATTCAAGTCAAATTTAACCGCAATTCATAATTTGAAAATATTGAATTCTAATTTGTCACATCAATATTTTATGACATTATATATTAATTTTATTTATTTATTTATTTAACTTTTAATATAGATTTTTTTTTTGTAAAAAGAGGATTAACCAAAAATCCTATGTTAAGAAGGGTCAACCAAATAAGTTAAGCATCATGAGTTTAGAGAATATTCAAGGGGAGTCAGCCACACAGAGACATCTTAATCTTCATTTATATATCTATCATTCAGTGTCAATCTTTTATCTGTCTATCAATATGGGATAGACAAAACTCAATCATAATTCAAGATTAAAGAATACTCACTCTTTAGGGTGTCACATTGATGGTTGTGGTTCTTACTTTTAAATATAGACAAAATAAATATTATATATATAATTAATTTTTAATATTGATTAACCCTTCTTGCAAAAAGAGAGTTGGCCAAAATGAACCAATCCCATGTATTCGGAGGGCCGGCTAAAATGCTTTAACCACAGGTATTAAGAGAATCAAACAAGAGGAACCAATCTCCTGAGTTGTCACAAAGGCATCTCAACCTCATTTTTACGTATCCAACATTTTTGTCAATCTTTCAACTCTCAATCAGTGTGTGATATATAAAACACAATCATAATTCAAGATTGAAGAATATTCTTTTATTAGGGTGCCGCATCAATGTTCCTTTTCTTACTTTTAAAAACATATTAAAATTACTTCTTCAATTAATATTTAGTATAAATTAATTTTTTCACAAAAAGGGGTTGACCAAAATGAGTCAATCGCATATGTTTGAAAGTTCAGTCAAAATGATCCAACCACGTGAGTTTAAACAATTGCTTTTGAGTTTAGACAATTGCTCCAAACATTTAAAGATAAACATGGCTATATATAGCCAAATGAATCTTTTAATTTTCAAAGGGAACTCATATTTCTCTTGTATACTCATTTTTCTCATTGACGTATCAATTTCTAATCAATATGGGTCCACAAAATCCAACCACAATGGAAGAATTTTAAAATATTTGGTTTTAATGATGCCACTTTATTGTTTTCTAGCTTTCTTTTGTATTGATATATTGATTTTTTTATATAGACAACTTTTTTGCAAATAGAGGGTTCGTCAAAATGAACAAACCCCGTGAGTTTAGATGGTTAGCCAACATTAACTAGTGATATGACTTTAGAGGATTAGCCAAGAGAACTCAATCCCATGAGTTAAAATAAAGACACATCAACCTCCTCTTATATACTTACCATCAATTGTCGATCTTTCATCTCTCCATCAATGTTGGATACACAAACTCAACCTCAATGCAAGAAATATATAATACTCAATTCTTAGGGTGGCACATCATTTCTTGTGAATCTTACTTACATATAGAGAGCCCTATATATAAAGATTTTTTTATAAAGATGATTTTTTGCAAACAAAGGGTTGGCCAAAATGAACCAACGCCATGAGTTTAGAGGGTTAGCCAACATGAGCTAACGATATGAGTTTATAGGATTAGCCAAGAGAATCTAACCCCATGAGTTAAAACAAAGACACATCAACCTCATCTCATATACCTATGTTGATCCTCTCTCTCAGTGATTTGATGATAATTTCTTTTTACCTATATACGAAGTATTTATGTTTCTGGCTTTTCAGTTCCAACGATCTTCACTAAGTCTGTTCAGTGATCGTTGAAGAACTTGTATTGTAATTCAATCAGCGACCGCGATACTTCAAGAAGACAACACTCACACCAAAGAACCTTCAGCCAATGTCGAAGACCGAAACTGAAGAATAGAGACTGGCGAGTACGTGATCTGAAGTGGTACTCAGTGATTACAAGCCTGTCTACATATGTGTGAAGACTACCCAAGCCTCAGCGAATGCTGAAGAGACCTTCAGGTTATTCCAGCATTCAGCGATCAAAATAAGCTTGCTACGCACGATTGTTGTTGTCTTGTTCTTATACACACAAAGGACAAACCCATACCCTTTCTAAATGTTAGTACGGTACGAAGCCGACTAGTTGACTTTATTACCCACCAACTTTAGGTAAGGATGTCTACTCATGAATAGGTTTTTGTACTATTCACTGTAGCAAAGGACAAGCCTTCCCCTTAAGGCTTGACACACATTCTAACCCTACCACGTTGCATTAAATGTGTATTTAATGCAATGGGTATAAATAGATGTGTTCTATCTCCATGCAGAGATGCTCTTAACCTAAAACTTACTCTGAGCATCCTTGCGCTTAAGTAAAAGAACACACATCTAAGAACTTATTTGCTCATCTTCAAGAGCAAGTTAGAATCCCTTTTATTGCATTCTAAACAAATTCATTCCCAGAAAGAACTTACTTTCTTCTATTTCTTTTACAACAAATCTTTTCTTATTTGCTAGGTTTAAGTGTGTAATCAAAGATTGTTTAGATATGTTTTCTTACATTATATTTTCGCAAACAGTCTTCTAAAATTTGTATTGATCTTCTCTTATCAATATACTTTTTAAATTTGAAAATACTATGTTTGTATTCATCCCCCCTCCCTTCTACAAACTGTTATACATATCTTGTAGACCCTTACGGGACCAACAACCTACCATCATTTGTCAATCTTTTATCTCTCCATCAATGTGGGATACACAAAACTCAACCTCTATGCAAGAAATATAGAATACTCAATTATTAGGGTGTCACATCATTTCTTGTGGATCTTACTTTTATATATAAAGAAAATTAATACATATACATACATATATATATTGATGATTGTAAAACACAATTTATTTTAATATAATAAGATTTGTTTTGCAAAAGAGAGTCATCAAAATAAGTTAACTTTATGAGTTAAGCCTCTTGAGTTGACGCAATGAATTTCATCCTTTTTTTTCTTATACACATCTATTTATTCCAATCTTTCATCAACGTGGGATATCTCAAACTCAACCACAATTCACAAACACTTCAATACTTAATTCTCATGATGCACCTAATTACCTCTGGATTCTTCTTTTAATATATATATATATATATATATATAATAAGATTTGTTTTAGAAAAATAGGATCATCCAAATAAGATAACCTGATGACTCAAGCCTCATGAGTTGACACAATGTAAGATTTGTTTTAAAAAATATGGACTTCCAAATAAGATAACCTTATGAGTCAAGCCTTATGAGTGGAAACAATGACTCTCATCATTCTTTCTTATACACACCTTCTTATTTCAATCTTTCAATCTCTCACCAATGTGGGATACCTCAAACTCAACCACAATTCATCAACACCTCAATACTCAATTCTCATGATGCCACATCAACACTCTTGGTTCTTCCTTTTATATCTATATATATATATATATATATAGATTTCGTGCTTGGTTTGTAGAATTATGCAGATTTGAAATCTTAAATTAATTTGAAAATTGAAATTCCTTGGAAATTCTTAGGGGACGTTTGGTTCGCAGAATGATTTCTGAAAGAATGAAATCTGTTAAAGGGATTAGGATCGAAATCTGGAAGGAATTGTAATGGAATGTTGTCAGGTTTAACCAAGTGTTTGGTTAGCAG